CTTTTTAGTTGGTTGGGAACAACTGGCAGGAAGCTTTGCGTAGGTTTCGTGCTTGATAGCACTCATCAGTAACGCGCACCTGTAGCCTCAAGAGAACTAAAGTCCCATGTGGGACTCGAACCCTCACCATTGAGTACTGTAGTCAGCTACGTTACCACTGAGGTACGTGGGACACGACTGATCTCCTGTAAGGCTGGACTATATACATTGGTTGACCACTGAAAACCAACCTATTTCATACTGTTTAGCCCTGAATGCTGGTCGAATACTGTCGGGCATTGTGCAATGTGGCCAACAAGCTAGCAGGCTCACCATCGCTGTACAGTTTGATGAATGGTAGGCCCGAATAAATCATTGATAACGTCACTGACTACAACACTGGATGATGGAAGTTCGAATCTTACAGGGGATATAAGTTCTCTCGAGGTTGCAGGTACGCCTTGCTGGCGATTCTAGTAAACACAAAACTCAGGTCCAAGGCTTCCTGCTAATTGCTTCCAACCAATTAACACTTATCAAAGTGCAGCACGACGGTGAACCTGCTAGCTATGTGACCACATTGCAAAAATGACAGATAGAATTCGGTCTCCATTCAGGACTAAATAACATGAGATTGGTTGCTGTCTAGTAACTAATCAATATGTGAAACCGTTTTGTATTGGATGAATACTCTCCAAATCATACTACATCATGATACCTGTTTTCTATGTAATACGATAATCCGCACATAGAGAAAAATTCTTTATCAAGTTGGTACTAATCATGGACTGATCTCAGTTGAAGAAACATTAGAAAACTGGAAGCACTGGACGGCTGTTTCGTCTTAGTATGAGACCCCTCAGCAGTGCGCAGCCATCAACCTGCCTCATCAGTGATTGAACCCAGGACATCCAGGTTCAGTGGACTGCACGTTACTATTGGGCCACTGGGTCAGAATCCACTGGTCAGTATTTCCAACTTCTATCAGTTCACGACATAGCGCACCATCACCCAATCTCACCGTTAAGTATTTGTCCTAGTGACCACGAGGTTTCCCTCACCTGTGACGACTTCTCATTGGAACTTCAGAAATCATCTCTCGAAGCTGGTCACCAATGAGCAATAAATCAATTTAATTTGCGGACGTCGAGGGAATTTAGTGACTTTTCAAGTCTGTATTCATCATGGACTGATGTCAGTTGGAGGAACATTGGAAACCTCGAAGTACTGGACAGGTGTCTCGTCCTGGCATGGGACTCGTCAGCAGTGCGCACCCAGAACTTTCAGATTCCGTGGTCAGCATGTTACCAGCGATTCCAATACTAGGATGAAACAGTTGTCTAGTGATCCCGGATTTCCAACTTTCCTCCAATTTACGTCGTTCCACGATGAATACAAACTTGAAAAAAAAATCACTAAATCCCCACAAACCTGCAAAAACATCCTTTAGTCAAGAGTGATTTTCATGTCAGTTTTAATGCCACCATAAGTAATAACCATATAAAAACTTAAGTATGAAGTTAATTTTTGAATAATAACATGAATCAATATATGCATATAGCTCCAAGTTGTGTTTATTCATCAATGAAATATCTATAAGTAGAATGGAAAAACAAATGATGCAAACAAGACAACAGAAATTCAATTGTCATTTGTTTTTGTAAATATAATAAATATAAAAGTTCCCCCATTCCTAGCTTAGATGATAATTGTAAGTTACTTAACGATCAACAGAAATGCACTTTAAGGGAAAATAATTTTCAGTATCTGAAACTAAAGTACAATACTTTATTATGCAGATCACTGTCGTATGAGACAAAAGTTTATTTTGAGGCAGTTGACTGACGTCAGTTGGGGAACCATTGAAAACCTTGGAGTAGTGAATAGCTATTTCTTTCTCGTAGGGGACTCCTCAAAAGTACGCACCCACAACCCGGCTAGGGATCAAATTCAGGACCTTCAGGTTTCAAGGCGAATGCCTATCTGAAGAACTCGGGTAATAGTACCGCTATATCGCGAAATGACAGAACTTGGAAACGGTGAACAATAAAAAGCCAACCTAGTGGCTGAATGGTTAAGTCGTTTGCGGTGAAACCTGAAGGTTTTGAGTTCGGTCCCTAGCCGGGTCATGGGTGCGTACTGCTGAGAAGTCCCATAGCAGGGCAAAACACCCGTCCAGTCCTCCAAGGTTTTCAATGGTTCGCCAAATGATATCATCCCGTAATGTATACTACCTCAAAATAAAAATCCCCATTCATCTCAGAAAAAGTTTATTTATTTTCCTACTAACGTCTTTAGAATAATAAATCAAGACGAGTCTCCAAATTTTTCTGAGACCATGATTTAAGGTATCTAGGTGACATTGCGTTTGGGCGGCCAGATAGTTTAGTTGTGAAGCCATTTTATGTTACAAAGAACAATATCGTTTATAAGAAAATTGAAAAAGAAATTAGCTATTAAGCTAACCATTATGATTGGGAAGGCTTTCCCAGTGATTGGTAGTGTTATATCACCAACTATTGTTAACATAAAATCTTAACTACTGAATTTCATCCCAGCAGGTAAACAACAAACAGCATAGTCGTCAGATGTTGTGGTACTTTTGAGTTTTAGCTAAAAATTACGTTGAAGATGCCCATCAAAAAGAGGTCATATATAAGTACACAAAAGATTTTTATTGCTCTCAGGTTTTAGCACTTCTGAGTAAAGTATCAACTCAAATACAAAGGTGTGTTACGAGAGGTCTAAAGTGGATAAAGGACAAACAAACAAGATCCAGATTGCCTACGCATTTCTACCTTTTCTTTGTGACAAAGTCATCAGTATTAATAATAAAAACACATTTATGCATCATCCTACTTCGTACATAAATTTTGATGGAAGACCGTATTCTAGTTCATTTAAAACTACTTATAAACAATGCTTCATATTAACAAATCGCTTTATTTTTAATTCTTGACCAACCATATTGTCTTATATCAAGGATGGATAGTAGCTAGCAGTGTAATCCAGGACGCGCCCTTCGTCCTATTTTGGATTCATCAGCTGGATACACCAGCCTCTCTGTTATAGTGTGAAATGAGATTATCAAAAGCTTCATATGTGACTGTTAACCGTTATATTCTTCTTGAACCAATAGCTTAGATTCCAAGTTTTTAGAAACTGAACACATGAATCAACGGAGAAGTATCTGGTTGGTTGAAGAGACGAAAACTCAATAGGATTTAAATACATACCTCATTGGTGACTAGCTTTGAGAGGTGCTTCCCCAAGTTACAATAAGAAGTCGTGACCAGTGGAGTCATGAGAACAGTTACTCAGCAACGGTATGGGATGAAGGTGGCACTAATTAGTGAACTGACAGAAGTAGGAAATATGGACTATTGGATTCCAACCCAGTATCTCAATCGTTACATGCGGGTCACGGAACTTGACCGTCCTGAGTTCAATTCCTAGTGGGATCATGGGTGCGTACTTTTAAGGATTGGCATACTAAGACGAAATAGCTGTCCACTGCTCCAAGGTTTCTAATGCTCCTCCAACCGATGTCAATCCATGCTGAATTCCAACCTAAAATCAATTATTAAATCTCCACAAACCCTTTTTCAAAAAATTACTTTGCTTAGAAGTTTTTTGGAAAAAAACACGTGAATCAACGTGTAAGTATCAGGTTGGTTAAAAAAACGAAACACTAATGCGACTTGAATCTAGAAACTCTTGAAAATACCCAAAGACATTGTAATATATATAAACCTTGTAATTTGTATATATTGTTGACGTTGCAAATAGACCTACTGTTCTATTACCACCTTTTCCATTACGGTGGAATTCAGTGACCACTATAAGAGTGGAATTTTAAGGTTATTATACAAACGTCAACATATAAATAAACCAGGCCATATCAAGTCACTGGTAAACATACATAAAACTCCCTCCGAGTGATATTTGAACTCCGGAATAATCGCTTCAAACAGCAGTGTTTTACCCACTGAATCACAACTAGCCACTTCCTATCATTAATATTAAGACTAAAAATATTAACAGTATCGAGACATTCACACAGAAGTCTATATACCAATAAAGGCTGATCTATATAGTTCAAATATAATGCTTTCATGGAGTCAGTTTCAAGTCCAACAGATTACATGGAATACAGGTTATGAATATAATTCAACTGGCATAATAACTCTTGTTGCATTCAAACATAAATATTGCTTTATCTAAGCAAGACATGAACAGAACGTCACTTTAAGAATACGATGTCAAAGAAGAAACCGTGGAAATATTCGTCACAGGAGAGTTTCGATGCTCTGAATAACCTTTCATGTTTCTTTAACTAATCTTAGTAACTCACCTGTGTGCGATTTCAGGTCAGTTTCATCCTTTAGAAAATGGGAAATTCTGAACCTCTTACACTGAGAGTTAGATTTTCACTGCATATAACAAGATGTATTAGATGTAATTTTTTCAGTGAATACTTTTCATTACTTAGATGGATAGCCATTCACTACGGTTCATGTCAACCAGCAGTAAATTTTAAAGCAATACACAGAGAAGCGTTTGTATCTAACGGCGAATATCTATATGACATGTAAGAGAAGAATGGCATAGTTTTATCCTACATACCCACGCTGTCACTGATGAAAGAAAAGACATTTGGTCACTTATATGTGGGGATATCTGATACACTACAGAAATAATTGAAAATCAGAAAAACAGTTCTCAGGCGACGTTTTTGCTGATTAAGGTTGTGTTCAGTATTATGTGTTGACCAGTTATTATTCCATTTCAACACGAAACGAAGTGAATAAAAACACACTCAACTGTCTTTTTCACTTTCATGCAGTAGGTAATGAGCCACACGTATTTTGTTACGGTTAATGATGCTACCTGGTTGCCCAAACTTTGGTAGGTGGTAGGGGGTTGGAAAGCCTAAAGCAACGAGTCACAGCTCCACTCAGCTCAACACAGTATATGCTCACTGAAAAACTTGTTATAGAAGCATTACTGAATTAACTAACCTGTGGATTCATAGATACCTGAATTGGATTTTATTCGACATTTGTAAACACCTTCATCAGTATTCTGAACATGATCTGTAATTAGAACACAATGATTATCCATTAAATATGTTCTCCATATTGTTTCATTACGTTGAAATTGATTTCCTTCGAAGGTGGCCAGTTTACTAGAGATAACTTTATTCACATTTTGCTTTGTGACAAGTGTTTTCAATGAATAAATCACCTGATGATTATGTAACCAATCAACTGTTATATTTGATCCAGATTTAATTGCAGACGGTATTGGACATCGGATAGCTATTGAATCACCGACGAATACCATACCCACTGTCTTATTATTACTACCTAATACAAGAGATTGTTTGTTAACTGGGATGGAAGATTTTATTCGTAAATATCCTTCAAAAGGAAGATATTTAAAAAAATTGACAGGCGTGAATTAAAAGTTGGAATGTATCTAAATGCATTAAACAAAATATGATTCATATTACTTAACTAATACTCTTTTGTTACTGCAAAGAAAAACTTGATTATTTGTTGTAATAGAATGAAGAGATCATTACGGTGGCATGATGAACCTGAAAATGTTGTTACACACATATATGAAGTGAATTATTATTTACTTATATTACTTTTGCACTAAATCTGGTAAATAAATTTGTTTTCAATTTAGTAGTCATCATGAACTGACATCAGTTGGAGAACCGTTGAAAACCAACTTTGGATCAATAAAATCCCCACGAATCTCCAAATCGAATTACTACTCAGTTCTCATTAGTGACTTGCTTTGAGATGAAACTCCTGGAAGTTCTAGTGAGAAATTGGGACCGGTGGAGTAAGCCAAATCATACGTCAGGACAAATACTCAACGACATCACTGGATGAAGATCGTACTACATAGCGGACTGATAGAAGCAGGAAAATGTGGACTGTTGGGTTCTGACCTACTGGCTCAATGGTAACGGGCTGACTATGGAACTTGAAGGTCCCGATTTCGACCCTTGGTATAGCCATTTGTGCGCACTGCTGAGAAGTCACATACTAGGACGAAACAGCTGTTCAGGTTTTCAGTGGTTCTTCAGCTGATGTCAATCTATAATGAAAAGCAACTTGAAATCTATAAAGTTCCTATTAACCTCTAAAGTTATTTTCGCTCCCAACAGCACAGTTTGTGTAAAGCTGTGATTACTTGTGTTATGTCATCTTTGGCAAATTAGGGCATCTCTTCATAACTCTTGAGTTTCCATCGAAGTATTACTGATGACGTCACCTTTTTCAATAAACAAAGCTTCAATGACAAATATTAAAACCAGAAGACTGCAGAATAATTATTATCTTAACACTTTGAAACCAAATCTTACCTAAGAAGTTGCACACAAAACACTCCAGAAATGCAGGAAAACAGTATGAAATTATTGTTCTTATTGTCATTTTTTAAATTATATCCCTCAAATCTCGCGCTTTTTCGAATTAGGAAGAAAAGCTATCACAAATTGGTACTACTTGGGTAAACATAGACAGTAAACAGATATCACTGTTTGGGGTTTATTGCATAACACAATGAACAATGAAAGTTTTAATACATATAAGCCAATTTATGTATTTCTTAGAGGTTTTCCAGAAGAAAACGATACTGTCGTGAAGTTTAGCACATTGTGCTCTGAATGACTTAATTTAAAAGTCTCAAACTTCAGTACTGAATGAATCAGGTTCAAAGTATAAAGTGAAGATCAGTTTCTTGTTGTTTGCATACACACTTTGTTGATGAATGCCAACCAGCACGAATCCTATGTCTTGGGCTTCCTGATGAAAAGATTCAAAAATCTAACATATTTAATGACTGTTTTAATGATACAGAAAATGATCAAAGCTGTGCATTAGTAAAACTTTTAAAAAAAAGATAAGCAATACAAAATAAATCCTCAATCTCAGGTTGGCATTCATCATGGACTAAAGTCAGCTGAAAAAACACTGGAAACCTGGGAGCATTGGACACTGTTTCGTTCTAGTATGAGATGCAGTGCTTACTCATGACTGCCTTCACCCTGGAATCGAATCCCAACCTGAAATAAATAAATAAACCCCTACAGGCATCCAAATTGAGTCCGGAGTGTCTTTCAAAAATGAAACATCAAAACGTACTTTTTGTTCTAAGCTTCGTATAAGTTACAAGATCCGTTACTTCACATTCATAAACCCCTTCATCAGAAATATGTGCATTAGAAGCAAACAGTATACTTCTATTCATGTCTGTATCAGTATGCCAAATAGTTTGATTTAAAGGTGAACCATTATACAGCCATTTTACAGAAGGAATTAAACATAATCCATCATAATTGACTGTAATTGAAATAGGTTTAAGACGACCCGAAGATGAATCCATAATTTCTGCTTCTACATCAGATTTACTATCCGCGATACTTGGAGTTATAGTTAAGGAAGCTAAAGATTACAAAAATTGGACAATTAACCAATCATAAATTCTCTTGATTATCGGCATGTTATGAAATAAAAAAATTATATCTGATAATAACTATTCAGTGTTCACAGCGTTATACATAGGACTGAGTAAGGCATATCAAAATAGTCTACCAATAGTAAGTCAACTAGAGTATGATAAAACTAAGAAAACAAATAATTCTTATGACGAAATCTTTAACATTCATAGCGAAACAACGAATGTACCTTGATGATTCAAGGTCAAGTTTGAGTGGTTTAAAGACACAACCGGATTTCGCTAACGCTAGCCATTTCAATTACAGTTTCTGATCCCATGGAAACCTAAATGAGATAAATCTCAAGATGAATAACACATTAAACTTGTTCATCACAAATATAAGTGGGTGAAGGTAACACAGATTAATTGGTGGCTTTTTCGAAATCAATTAGAACAGATGATCATCGAAGCGCAGTAAGTTTCTAAGAAGGAATTGATTTCCATAGCATACTACTTTTAGTTAGACTTAAAAACCTGTACAAAATGTATGAAAACCTTTTCTGTACGGTATTTAAAAAGTGTTCAAATATTAGTAATGTTCGTAATTATCTTGATCACCTAAAGCAGTCACAGAATATACACGAGGAAACATGATTTCCTTCACGATAAAGGAAACATGTGAAACAACATGGAAGACGAGAAACTAAAGTTTCAGTGAACAATTGGATGACATTTATAGCTTGTAAGCTTATGAACGAGGCACACGGGCAAATAAACCAAATTTAATGTAAATTCTACTTCTTTCAGGAATATGTCACCTAGAAAACCAACTCATGCTTAATTAATGGGACTGAAAATTTTATACCCTATCAAGTCATACATATACTTCTTAGGTGATACCAATTTACCGAGAGTTTCACCGTGAGGAAATTACTGAATCTGAACGGCTACCCACCACAAAGTATAACTGACTGACTGACTGACAAAAGCAACGTAGAATCTCCCACACAAGTGCATTCGCTCAAGTTGTTACACGTCACAGCGGTCCACAAAGAACAGGTGGATAGAAAAAAGGTCATATCAAAGAATAAAAAGTAGTGTAAGAGAATAAACAAGCTGAAGATAAATTTTAGAGAAATATTCAAGCTCTAGATGTCAAGAAGAGAATACATCTGCGCCATTGTGACTGATTTTCAGCCATGTCACCAGAAGTCCTCAACCACTGATTCCTTGCGTCTCGTGGATGCCAACAAGACAGTTCACATCTCAAATGACACTGTTCAACAGTAAGACACTTCATCGAATCGTCTTACTTCTTGGTCTGGCTACTCTGAAACCTCTTTCAACCTAATCCAACTTCCCACAGCGTGGCACGTCAAGGTAAACGGTGGTTCGGCATGTGCAGTACATCCCTAATCCATCTCAATCGACTGAGGTTCACCAGCTCATCAATCAACTTGCCTGTCTTGCCTAATACCCTTCACCTGACTTCAACATTGGCCACACAATGACTCCATCAAACGCGAACAATACTACGAAGACACTTATGACCAGAACCTTTCAACCACTTCATGCCTTCTACTTTTGACGGTCATGGTTCACAGCCATGTAACAGAAGAGGACGGACTGAAGTGCAGTATATTCATCATACGACAAATAGTAGGATATCTTGCCAGTGCCTCAGATGACGTGCGTTAGCGAAAGCCAAACGGGCCTTCTGTATCTCAGCTGAGATTTCGTCACCAACCAACCCATTTGAACTCATGCAACTCCCCAAGTAAGTGAAGTGGTCGACACATCCCATCACTTCACTTCCCTCCATTGAAATTGGAGTACTTTCAGACCAGCCCTCGAGAATCATTCAACATTTTACGGGGGCCAGAGAGAAATACAAACCAAAGATACTCAAGTTTCCGATCAACGTGTCAAGACTCCACATTTCGTCAGCACCTTTACCTGGCAGGACAGCTTCGTCCGCGTACTCCAAGTCAACAAGATGACCTTCAGGGAGTAGGTCAATCGCTGTGAAGTCAGATGTACCTTACGTTATGTCCATTCATAACACCTGACAGAAGCGTTCTGATTTCTTACTACCACAAGTGTACTATGCTTGAGACATGGCTTTTGGCAACAGAGTGATACAACACAATTTTAATTCGTGTTTTCAGTTACGTAACCAGTATGTGCTCGGTAATTCTCCAACATGTATCGGAGAACAATAGCATTGCTACGAGAGTCAAAGAGTAAAGCGAAAGTTTGATGTAAACTAACAACCATGCAGTCATAACTAAACTTGCCATATTTGGTACTTTGAACAAGACGTACAGATATGCAATACTACAGGAGAGAATTTAGATCCGCTCAGTATATTCTAAGGAACAAAAGTGTCACGATATGCTATTCATGTTGCTACCCAGCGACCACGTTGCTTAATATCCTAGTGTTTTCAGGTCGGGGATTATATTGGTCACCTTTATCAAGACTTATCTATATCAAGAGTTGAGGTGGTCGTAGAATAAACATCAACTAATCAGTTATAAACCGGAAAAATATGCACAATCAAACTAGAACTTATAAGGATAATTGTTCTGTTTTTCATGTGATCAACTTGTTGCCTGCTTTCATTTTCTGAAGAACAGAAAGCTCTTAAGTGAAAAAAGTCAGAATATTCATATATTCCGAACTTCAACTCCTAAGTTTCTAGATTTTCGTCGTTTTTGCCCGTTGACTGATTCATTCCGCTTGCATAAAAGTCAATACTCACTGCTAAGTAGAAGCTATTGATGAATACCTTTTAGCCATGTATTAGATTTGTTCAGTAAATAATACACAAAGATGAACTAGCTTACCATTACTTTTCATTGCTTTACCAGTTTGTTCATTCTTTATACGTACTGTATATAACCCAGCATTATGTGTTGCAACATTTTTTATCATCAATTCAACAAAATCTATGTGAATGCTTTCGATCATATTATTATTGCTACCATTTGTCAAATTAATGCATTCTTTTGTTCCATATGTTAATTGTCCTTTGATAAATTGAAATGGCCTATAAAACCATGAAATACTGAATTCACTTTCACACGATGGACCATTAAAATAACACTGAAATTGAATCATTTCACCAAGTTTACATTGGATATTATTCAAGGGTTTAATAATTCTCCATGATGAATACAACACAGGAGGTGCAGAGCTACTTTCATTTAAAATATTCTTATTGTTGTCACTATTTCTAGATACATATTTCTCTGAATTTATACTACCTGGAAATGAAAGATGTGATAAGTTTGCTAATGGTGGTGTTAATCGCCGACTAACACCAAGCACAGATGAACTAATATCTGAAGATGAGGGTAGTACTGAGGTAAATTGTGAGTTAGTTGGTTCATACATATTCCGTTTATGATTGAGATATCTTTGATTCACACTATTATTATTGTTATTGTTAATATTATTACTAGTGGGATTATTGCCAGATTTTCTAACTAATTCTGAAAGATCGACAGGAGATGAACTTGTCATGCGCATATTTAACATTAACATATCTAATTCTTCTTGTGATTCTTTGATTAAACTTAGCTGAACACTTAAATATTGTATCAACCATGAAACTTGAGGTTGTATCGGAGATATTCGACTCATCTGTTCAGCATGAGGAGATAAACAATCAGGTTTGATTATAGTAATAATTGCTTGTTCCAAATTATGTCCATCAATCTAAAAAGTGAAAAGAAAATATCAATATTCAATGAATTTTGAAAATCTAAACAATTTGTATGACTATCGGAAAATAAAGATTCAGTAGAGTGTTATTTTTACCTTGTTAGAAACCCTCTACGTCTTAAGAGATGAAACTCATGAGTGACTGTTAGCATTCGAAGCTACCAAACCGTTCGTCAAGGAACCGACATTCCATAGTCACCAGCTTCACTTGCTCTTAAGGAAATCATGACTATATTCAGTGATTTTAGTAATCACTTGCGCTTATTTTCTATTGATTGATTTCAGTTTTGTTATTCCCTGATCTCTTAGGCTTAGTATCCTTTCACACGATATCTGTTCTTTCTAGTGATCAAGTAGAAATATCGAATCTTTGCTGAAGATCTTTGACTAGCATGTTATCAATAGTGGCCACCAAAAGTTGTAATAAACTGTTTTCATATGAGGTGAATGATATCGTAGTGTACTCCCTGCGTAGCACTAGAATCCAGGACGGGTGTTTCGTCCCATTTGAGGCTCATCAGCTGAACATACACGCACCCTTTGGAGTGCTGTTCCCACTGATCGGATTCAATGCCAAAGCGTTGTCTTCTAGAGAATTAGGGCACGACAACCACCTCTTGTATGATAGATATTAGTTTTTTATTGTTACGTAGAGCGATATGGTCCAGTATACCAACGGAAAATCACGATTGGTAATAAACAACAAGTGAATCATAATTATTATTCATTTATGCTGACACAACGATACGTTCAGTCAGAATTTCCAACTCTTAAACATTAGTACGATTTAAAATTTAAAAAGTACCCACTTTTGAAGATTTAGTAGACATAACAACGTAATAGAAAATAAGTCCAGTGAATTCAAACTTTAATACAAATAAATATAATTAAACTCAAAGTATAGGCAGGTTGAAACAAAACTAATATCCTATAATTACTTATTCCGTAGGTAGGAAAGCTATACACCTTGTATTACTTAGTGATTTCAGAAAACTGATATAATGCCTTCAGGTTAGGCTTCGCATTAACTTACACATAACATTATGAAGTAAGTTCATTATTCATAAGATGAAGTAGTTTTCTCCACTGTAGCTTTAAATAATACTAGCTGAACACTTTGATGGGAAATCATTTCCATCAGGTTGGCAGATATGTCTTCTTGATAAGGTCTGATATACAGAAAGTCTAAACGCGCTGATTGTCAATAACTGTCCCAATGTAAAATACAATCCAATGAAATATTAGGTAACTTCACTGAACAACCGCATTACAAATCAATGAGCTTCATTTAATATTAAAGACTAGACAATAGAGCCGATAAATATCCTGTAACAGCTTTGTATGAAATCAGTAGAGATTCACACAAAAGAAATATCGTCAGCATACTGAGTGTAGACTGAAGGGATTTATTAGTTTCTGCTTTATTCTACAGTTCAAAATAAGTACTTCATTAACCCGTTAACAAGCGAAGTATTGTGATGTAACAAGATCATCCAGTAACCAGAATATACAGAAATACTATATTTGCCGTATCAACCTTACCTCAGTAGGAGCATCAACAGGCAAAAAGAGGTTACATATAGCAGTAAAACCAATGCTGAATAAACTTTATTCAGTGTAATTCTTAATAAAGCGTTAAGACAGATAGCCTCAATACATGAAAATGAATGAACTCTTCAGGTTCAATATTTCTTTAAAAAACGCTGACACCCCAATAGTTTAATATGGCCAATCGGCTTCATGGCTTCCAGGTTAGTACGACGTAAATTTCAATCCGCCAAAAATACACACTCAAAACTTTGATCCATATAAGCAATTTAATAGATGGTAAGAATTAACTTGTCACTAATACGCGCTGAAAGTGAGTGAATTTTCAATGGGCTTTACAATGGTTAGATTGATACTTAATGACGACTGACTTCTTTTACAGTACCCTATCTACTTAATGAATCTATTTTGGTTTTGCGTTAGTAAGAACATTTATCTGACCGCAGCCTAAATTTTCTTTTGCCTCTGGTAATCATATTCACATTAGAACGAAGTTTAATCTAAAATGTTTCAAAAGTTAATGTATAATCAACAGTATATTGAACACAGAAGAAGTCCAAGTAAAGTAGGCGCTTTTCATATCGGTTAATCACAAAACCATAAAAGTTATTTACCTGACCAGAAGACATAGGTGATCTTTGCTTGTTGGGATCAGATACACAACTCAAGTAGTTCGATCTAAAGTTGTCCAGTTCAGGAATGATATTATAAGCCTATTATCCAAAAAGAAGACATGATAAGTATCAGAAGCATTTTTTTCAGTAGTTTTCACCACTAACGAAGTCTATTAAGCACTAAACAAATATTAATCATGTAAATAACCGAAAAGTGACAGGAAAAATGCGTTTTAGGATATTGTTTAGAAATCTTGAACTGGCTGATTACTATTCACTGAAGCATATCTATAAGACATTATATCATATGTAATAGCTCCAAACCAATGTTACCGACCTCTTACGAATAATAACTAACAACTATCACCTCGAAATAAAGTCGAAATCCACACTGCAACCTTGTGCACATCTGCACAGTAGGCAATGAGGTACACCTATCGTGTGGGGGTTAATTAAACTACCTGGTTGCCCAAAACTCGGTAGATGAAGTGGCGCTCGAACCCACAACCTACTTATCTAGCATAACCTTGCAGTAGGAGTTAGCCAATCAGTAAAGATGACAATTTCTTTGCAAACATGAAAAATGCAACGAAATATACGCTTATTACATTGCGTTTGAACCAAATTATAAAGAATATGGGAAGCACCATAGATGGCATACTAGCTTATGCATGCATTAATAAGGATCCACAGTGAATGAGTTAAACAAAGCCTTCAAACTAAGAAAATACAGAAAAAAGAGACTACTATGTATACCATGAAGTAAAGTGAAGTGTAAAGTTTTGAACAGTATAGTCTAAGCTAGATGTGAAACCATCATAACTACTTAGAAAGTGTTAATTCAAAAGGAGAAGCAAAAATTGATCATCACGCTGAACTGGAATATCTATATTACGGAACAATAAGCTCTATATACAATATTCTGAAGTATTGATCCGTTCAACATTCAATGTTCAACCTTACACGCAAACACAGCATAAGATATATAGTACGAATTGTGTAGTCTAATATGTCAATCGTATGACACTTAGTATCAAACTTTACAAATTAACAAATATAGAGGATAATGAATAAGAATTTTTTATGTATACGTAATTAATAGTGATCCTATTTCTAGGACTGGTAATAAATAAACATATACACCCTTACTTTATATGTGTTTATGTGTCTAAGAGTAGGTTATTAAGAGGATGAAAATAACATTTTAGCAATTATTTACGTCTTAGAAATAAGCATGCATACATAGCCGATAAATATAGTGAGTGTGTAATATTACATTCAAAAGGGTTAAATTGAAAATAATATTGGCTGTCACAAGTGTTAGTTTTAATTAGGACCTAACAGGCATAGAATGTTCAAGTGTCGATCCTTTTTTTCACATACCTGTATTCTAAATATTCATGGAAATAACTGTGCACACCATGTGGTAAGTGGAAGGCGATAAGTTGAGGTAGATGAATAGATATTTATTTATCTAGGCTGGCAATGAAATTTATCACTATAATTTATTTGGTTGTAGCTATCGAAGGGATCCAAGATGCACGTTTCGTCCTGTTTGGAACTCATCAGCTGGATGAACTTGCACCCCAATGAGTGATGTTGTTTCCATTGAGACTCGAACTTCGTACCCATCCCAGTTGCTTAACGTGCTACTTCATGCGGCAAAGGGCTGAAACGCTGATCTGTTCCAGCAGTTTATATCATCTATGCATGAACACTTGTATGTAACAGTAACAAAATTATGATAAACGTAACCAATATTTTGCGTCAAGTCTTCCTTATATATTCGAAGTCGATATAAGAGAAGTCTTTGAACTAAATTTCATGCTAATTGTTAAATTATACCTGCAAAACTTATGAAAATTCATGTTACTACCTCAAAGTTGCAGACACGCCTTGTTATTCAGTGAGAATAGGCCAGAAATCCAGATCTTAGACATTCTGTTGATAAACTTTGAATATCTAGTACTGCACACTCCACAGAGAGATTTCGGCCACCACTGAAGAAGAGACAGTTACATTGGTGAAGATCAACTCATGGAAATGGCCAGTCCGTCATCAGTTATACACACCGTTCGGACATGTAATGGTGGCTATAAGTTACTACACATGACAATCAACCTTCGTGCGAAGCTATTTTCATATTTATGTGATTTATATCGTCCAAGACGATCTTCTTTAACTTGAATTTATACAAAAACTAATTAATATCAATGAGTTTAGCTATACACCTAAGGTGACCTGCATCTTTCCGAAAGGTGAACTAGCCAATTTACAGAATGGCTGCCAAATTCTGATAAGATAGACAGTAATAAATCACTCTGTATTCATTTTATCCACTAGTTACCTAAACTTGGTTAACAAATGTTTTGATATACACAGGAGAAAGTAATCACAAAAATTTGGGGTATAATTATTAAACTTCAGTCATGGCTAAAATTACAGGTGAGAAATTATTCATTAGTGCAGTTTTTATTGTTGTTATGGCATTTGACCACACCCGAGACTGGAAACCAAAACAATACATAATATAGCAACTACAAATTGTCTTTTTTGTTTATAAATATCAACGTCAACATTGGCCATCATGTTTCTAGGTTTAAAAAATGTACCACTTTGGCTTGCAATGGTGAAGGTTAGAATTAAAGAGTATTGGTTTCGTTCACTAGCACCAATGTATACAAATGAATACGAACAGCTTCAATGGGATACCTAGCATATGTTAGACAATACGTTTAGATATCTTCGTGTTATGTTCTCCAAACTGGGTGGTTTCTTCATGAAGCTATCACTCCCATTCTGGACGACATCATCAGTACGAACTTCAGAAAAAAGCGGGATAAAATAATTTTCCTACGAGTGGCTTGGTAGCTTATCCTGATGATTTTGAATGTGATTATTTGCTTCTCTTATGACATTGCAATTGTTTTCACATGTATTTCGTTTGCTTGTATCTTTGACCGAAACTTTGACCTTGATATTTCTCGTGCTTCTTATTCGTCAATAGACTGGGTCAATGCTATTATGCCTATTGATAGCCGAATAGCCTAAGTTCTAAGGTTTTATAAATTCCCTGGCGTTCTTCGTGTTTCTGTTATTCAAGATCCCCTCGTTTCCTCAACCGAACTTATGTACATATTTATCTATACACCTTAACATGAGCAAAAGTATATAGCAACACATGAAAGTTGGTTGATGTTCATACGGATCAACATGAAGGCAACTACTCCGTCCGTCGCAATCTTTTTTGCAGTTTCTAGAGTCCATTTCGTAGACAACATTGATTTTGTATTCCTCCGCGTTTGACTGCATAACACAGAGTGAAGAGAATTGTAGTTTGGTGAACCTACGAGACTCTAAAAGCCTTTAGTATTCTAGTCGGAATCGTCAAGATATTTTCCTCGTATGGGAAGGAATTCAGTGCATTGGTTGATGGTCAGTTTCAGAAACATATTGTAATATGATAGCTGTTCTCTTGTAAGATAACTATTTAGTGGTTGCTTTTTTCTTTCGTAAGGTGGGCGTATTACAGGATTTTTTCGCTTTTTCTAATGATGCTTTTACGCAACTGATTTTTTGCATTGTTATATTGTCGCTAATGTAGTTGAGTATTTGATCAGTGTGAATCTGTTTTGGGCATAATTCAGTTTCCAACTTTACCGAGTTAAACCTGGTGATCAAAACATCTGAACTGCGAGTGTGTTGTTTGATTTCTCTCAAATTGTCATTTTGATGTTATGAAAAACGTTTATATATCCTATGAAAGAGTATGACTTATTTTTCATAATCACATCTCTACAGCTTTTCATACCTTGGTTTCAGTTACATAAGAACCTGTATTATCTGCAAGGTGCATACTGACTCTACAAATAACGACTTCGTTGTCTATATCCTTCCACACCTTAATACATATTCTTTATTAGAACTTTCACCTTAGATTATCCAGTTGCTTGATTATTTAAGTGTACACAAAGCAACCGCTAAGATTTCTTCGAGATTTCCATACACTCTTAATTCAGTTAACCCGCATATTCATATAACCTTACTGACTATCATCGACTGCACTATCATATATTCTTGGTCCCACAGTTATTTAATGCTATTTGGTCAGTTAAATTACTGCACCCAAGTTGGCAGGAAAGATCCCTGAAGCAACGAAGTTTGTCTTTTTGTGAATTTGTAGACTCAAGTGTCATCTTAATTCCAGCATAACTAGGTACTGTATGTGAACTTATATGTGAGCATGAGTCTGTGCATAAATTCTGCTGCACAGTTGCCAGGTATTAATATTTATTTCGTCGTATATTTACATATTATGATTTTTCTGTCTTCCTAATCACCTCAAACCTGCTCCCAGCTGAGGGACTTTATCCTAAACTTGGCGTTAGCCGCCTAAAACCTACAGATTTCGGGTTTTTTCATAAGCTTAACCTGACCAAATATTTTAGGTATTTTACAACTCCTGTCTATACACGAAAAATGCTACCTCTCAAACTCTATAGCGTGAACTAAAATGATATACATCAAGAACAGTATTATATTTCACTGTGCTGATGAGCTAAGTGAATCATTTTCATGTGATTGAGTACGTAGTACAAGAGATAGCCTTACATTTCAAGCATTATGTGTGTATCATGTCTATAGAACTAACTGTAATTAAAATGAATCCCACTCAGTTGTTACTATATTTTCTCATATTCCTTTTAATACCTATGTATTAGACAAGCATTTTGAGCATGTTCACTTTCTCTTCCTTCAGTCTGTCATAGTATATTCGATACGATACGAAACAAAACATCTACATGAAGATAGTTTCTTCCTATGATAATAAATCAGAAATTCATTCAAAAGAAACTCAATAATAAGCACTGAGAAGATTCTCTGGGTTAATCAAGAGTCGACTAACGACACAAAACTCATAAATTTTCAGTGACCAATTGATGTATAGAATCCTGTCTTACATGATATAGCCTCAATAGTTCAGTGGTAGAGTCTATAACTGCAGAACTATATGGTAAGGGTTTAAATCCCCAACAGAACATTAGTTCTTTAAGGTTGCAGATATGCCTCATAGACGAATGCGAACAAGCACGAAATCTGTGTCAAGTAGGGCTTACTGATTGCCTTCAACCAAATGAAGTCAACTGAATTCATTAGCAATAGCGAATTGGACCAGCTGAAATCACCCAAGGATGGTCTATGTAAGCAGATAGTGATAGGCATCGTATCTGGATAAATCTGTTATGTAAATTGACGATTATAATTTCAAGACAAAAACATTCAATCCAATAAGTTATTTCCATACTCAACAAAGCTTACCTTTATTAAATTCTGTATAAAATACTTGAAAATGTTCAAGTTCTCTGTGTATTTCTTCCAGATAGACTTAATTTGTGATACATGATCAGGGAAGCGGAATTTTTCACAGCTTTCAACTTCAAGTATCAATGAGTGAATAAATTCTTCTTGTGCCTTGAGAATAAAATTAAGATTCATAGAAAGCAACTGTTTATCATCAATCACTAAGTGTGATTAATAAATAGTAAACTGATGAAATGTAGGTTTTAATCGCTTTGATCATAAATTCTGCCTTCATTGAAGTGCATTTTATGCAATAGATAAGTAAAGAGTGTCGAGTTAATCTGTGTTTTACTCTTTATCTCTCCCTCCTGAAACTTTTCAATATATTACTTCATAAAGATTCTTCAACCGATACCAGAAATGGTCATGATTCACATAGAGTATTGCAAATTACAGTTAATTTTTTTTTTGGCATAAATAAGTCGGAACGATTGATGCGCTCAACATACAATTACCTTATCCATTGTTAACAATAACACCCCCAAAAAGCTTAAGTAAGGGAGGTAAAACAAATTTAGCAGAATACAATGACGTCATTTTAATTCACAGCCACCTCTTCAATTACTTGCAAGCCAATAAATGCTACTTATTAGAACGGAATAAATGTTAACATACTTTTCAATTAGGTTAAGCTAAAATGGTTTAAGACGAGAAACTGGACAGCAAAATCGTCAAAATAATGAGTTATATGTTAATTTCAGGTAGTAGTAGTAGCAGTAGTAGTAATAATAGTAATAATAACAGAAACTTATCGCCTATACTTCAAATTATTCACCAGTAAGGCATCAGAACCTTGATCTGCTTTAGTCGATACAATACTGCCTTCAGTTTATAACTTTCATAGGGCATAACAATATGCATCAGTCATAATTTTGGCTTAAAACGAAAAAACATTGTGGAATTTTGCTTTGGATCAATCTTAGGTAACCTAATCTGTTGATTTAAGGTCAAATAATTGATAGTAAGAGTTTTTCATGCAAATTCAGTCAATAAGAAGACTTTTGATGCAATATAATGTTGATGATGAAACGTTTGGGACTTCATATAGAAGTGAAACTCTGGCATTATGATAGATAATAATTTCACTAAATCCCCATAAATCCCCCAATTCAATTGAACTAGTGCTCACTGGTGACCAGCGTCGAGAGGTGATTCCCGAAGTTCCAGTGAGAAGTCGTGACCAGTGCGGCAAGCCTGGTGGCCGTGAGGACAAATACTCATCGATGACATTAGGTGGCGGTCGCGCTATGTCGTGAACTGACAGAAGTTGGAAATATGGACCATTGGGTTCTGACCCAGTGGCTCAATAGTAACATGCTGGTCATGCAACCTAAAGGTCACGGGTTCGATCCCTGGTGGGTTAGTGGGTGCTCACTCCAGAAGAGTCCCATCGCAGGATGAAACAGCTGTCTAGTGCTCGCAGGTTCCCATTGTTCCTCCGACTGGTGCCAGTCTACGATGGATTCCAACTTGGAAAATCATTCTGCTTTGTTTATTATGTGTATCCCATAGTGTATGATTTGAATATGGACAATAAATTATGTTCGAATCGGTGTCCAATAAATAATACTCTTTCAGTCTGCGATAAGTCCACTAACGAAATTAAATTGGAATAATAAGGATTTGTTGATCGAAAATAGACTCCAAGTAGGAGATACCTCAAATTTCATACAGGCTGCCGGATAAGCTAGAAAACTGGACAGGTCAGAACAATACACTATGGGACGATACAATACTACTCAACAGAAGTACTTTGTGGGCAACATGCACTAATTAAGAAATGTCTTTAAAAGAATGAGCATCAGCAAAACTTCATCAAAAAACATGGAAAGTATCGAAGCTTCCCATGAAACAAAAGGTTACAACATAGTCAAATAATTAGTAAGTACGCTTAATATCCTATGTGTTTCAATAGACAAGCAAGTTTATCATTTTCAGATTAACTGAAAACTGAAACTTGTTACAGTAGTAAGAAAAAAGAGTTTACAGCCTCAAAAGTGCTCATACAAGCTTATCTATACACAACCGAATCTTTTTAGGCTTATGCCAATAAAGTGAACATTTAAGTGGTCAAACAGAATGATGTCTGTTGATTGCTGTGTTAGATCCCAAGCATCCGTAAGATGTTATAAGCTTATGCACCGAAGGATATAAAGAAAAAATTGACCTATGAAGCTTCTACTTGGTTATAATAATGAATTAAAAGGGTCGATCTTAATTTGAACACCCAAACAATACAAATGAAATCTTTAAGAAACACAGAGATACGATAGTACACTGAACTTCAATGAAAAGATGAGACCGTCAACATGCATAAGCACAAAATATCGTTAATATTCCGATGACTATCACTTGAAAATGAATACCAGTAATTTGTGGGCAATGCTGAAAGATAAATAAAACTTTTCTAAAAGCTTATTCTCTTGATGCAAGATGGCAGATTTTCAGGCTGAGTTCATCAACAGCCAATCAAATAAGCTTCAAAGTTTTAGTAACTACTGAAATGTGATGCTAATGAAACGAAGAAAAATGTCACAGCAACCTAAGCAGGTCATGTATTCCGTAATCATATTTTTCGCATTAGCTAATCGCAAAACCAGTAGTAGGTCCAGGTGAACAAATTGACATGAGATACAGTGTATAAAAGCATTCCATGAAAGATATTATATTGTCACTTCCCTTAATGCTACAGATACACCTTGGTGACAATTGCCAATGAGCGTAATACCTAGACCCAGGAATTCTTGTCGACTGCCTTCAACTCTTTATCGATATAACATTTTGTTCAATTTGGAACACGCATTAACCCAGATTAATTGTGTTTTGTTTTGTCTGATTTCATTTTTTTTATTTTGCTATTATTCGAACTGGTATATTACACTTTCTTCGCATGATTATACACGCGTCACAAAGGCATGATAGTACTGGAATTTACGCGACTATTGATTAAAACCAGAAACTAGATGTTCAACACTTGTTTATTTATAGTTGACCCTATAAGGTCTAACGGTGATAAGAAATTAGCAAAGTAAATACACGTTAGATATTGACTGACGAGCAAGAATTAAATCAATTGTATTGAAACGTATTTCATATTGGTTAGCTTGTACAACAATTAGGAAGGCATTATACTAGTGGTATTAGACTCCAATTAACTTTTAAAGGATATTTCAATCTTATTGTGTATTTAACGAAATTCTTAAAAAGCATCTATGTAGCATGCTGAGGTCAGCTAACAATCAGTTTCATTTTAACTTTTATATGTTATAGTAATGAAAGTTAACCACACAACGGGATTGTTAACTTGTATCATCTGGAGTAGTGAAACTATGCATTGAGAACAACTAACTAAGCAGTCAGAAATGCCATGCTCGTAAGAAACTAATTGGGAGATATAAAAGTATGGAGGATGGACTAAGGAATACTGTGATAACGTCTATGGAATTTATAAGAAAATTTATGTGATATAAGTGAGTGGGCACAGTAGTTTCCCAACTCGGAGATACTTAGTATCGATAAACCAGGTATGGAGTGGACATTCTCATTAGAAATCGGTCAACCTAAAGGACAAAACTTGGAAATCCCTGATGACTAGTTAGATTTAATGAGTGAATATCAAATGTCTACGTGATGTAGAACTGACTACTAAGTTTCAAAAAGAGTACATAACACTTGGTTTGACGTAGTTATAAGCAATTTGCCAACTTCACAAGATAGTTAAACAACCGTTTGTAATTTCGTTCATTTCACTAGCTTTATTCAATGGGTGTGTGCTGTTTAGTGTAAACTTAACTGCACCCATTTACTAAGTTCTTTTCTGAAATTAAGCATCCAAGTATCCTTCTCTATCAATATTCAATAAGCTACTAGTTTACTGTGCCTATCTTTTCTATACAACTCAAATCAATTCACAGTGAAAGCTGTTTTGCCCTAAAATAGGACGATCAGTTTGTAAATGATTGACAGATTGCATGGTTCACTTTGACATTCTTCACAGCTGAGTAGTTTTTCAACAAGTCAACCGTGGTATCAACAAGTTTTCAGCTGGAAACCACTCAACCAAGATCACAAGGCATTATCTTTGATACGAAAGTGTCATGAACTAGCTAAAGATACTACTACTGAACATCTTGAATACTTAGATATCACTCAGGCCGATCTGTAGTGTTTCGCTAGCCAGATCAGAGTGATTTAAACATAGTTCCTAGAGCTAAATTCGTTCAGATCACCAGGACCTGGATAGCTGACTTGTATGGACCAGTATACCGGTTTACCTGGCGAAATAAGACAGATCAACCTGGGTGCTTTTTAACTAATCAAGTTATCCAGCAGTGGTATCTTCCTCTGGTTTGCTCTCTGTTATCAGTTAATTTACTTAGCTTCATTCTGGCATCTTAGACTTCACCATTGTGTTATAGAACTCATTTTGCATGACAAATGCAGTGCTACAGGTGATTTCGTATTAATAGATCACTTAAGTATATAGACCTGATAGTCAGTATGATAATATGCCTATATGCAAACAAATTCATGAATTCTAGTACCTTTGAACAACAAAGATTCATGTGATCATTATTCATCGAGGCTAAAGAACATGTACCATTAGCGCTGTAGTTGCAGTATTCACTAAGCTAGGATTCACTCCATATTTTGTGATAAATCTAACTGGGCAGTATGGTGATTTTCGCATTGCAACAAATGTGCTTCAATCAATGAAAGCATCATCATCATCATCATCATAGAGTTCTGTAATTCGCATGCTTTCGTCGCCATAGACACCTTTTTCCACGCACTAATATATATTCCAGAGAGAAGAATTTGTATTATTCTTTGAAACGGACTAAGCTAGTGCATCAATAAATTTTATACTATCTTTAACGTAAGTTACCAATAATACTTTAAAATACTATCAAAACCTTTATCTATTTACAAGCTAATTAAAAGTTTTTAATAGCTATGTATAGTCAAAATTATCTTCAAAGAAGTAAGTACAGTTAAGTTGATGATTTTATTGCACAGAGTAAATAAATCAAACCAAGATTATGGACAATATGTAGCCTAGTTTACAGGGTCTTTCAGTTTCAATAAACCTCTAAGAATCTGTCAAGTTCAATTTAGTTGTAAACTGTTACACTGTTAGTCTATATTTATAAACAGGTAGTAGTTAATCTAAGTCTAATCTAAGTTGTTGTGCGAATCATTTTAACTGCATCATTCAAGTACTCCACTTTCAGTCCATTTGTTAAAAGCCATAAAACAGTACTATCTAATCTGATTTCGGGGGACTAAGAGAATCATTATTCTTTTCATACAGCTATGCTTTACATTTGATTACTGTAAGGTAAACTTTATTATTAAGGTCACAATATGACAGTTTCCTTGTTATTTAATCGTAGGTGAATCAGGATTATATGATAAGAAAGCACAAAGTACTTTACTTACTTTGATATTAAGAATAAGGCTACTTAAGAAAGCCAAGGTGGTTTACAATACATTACTGAAAAAAGATTGTGACTGGGTGTAACTTCAGTGACTGGGAAATTACATTCCGCTACACAGCCAGCATTATTATGAGACTTATAGTCGTACCAAGACCGCTTCAGTCACCAAACGTTTTGTTTAGCTGTAGTATAAGTGAGATAAGCCAAATGGATGATCACTTCCTACTACATTCGCTGCATGCCTATGAACTATCCACACGATACCTCCTTCTACCGCTATTATACATACTTTTACTAATTTAAAATAGAATGAACATAGTATGCTTTCTACGTAAACTAATGGTCATGACCTAGAACCCTAGGATGGTATTATGGCTGCTTGATATTGAAATTTGCTTCAAGTGCTCACTGGTAAACAACGGATCTCTAACTCATTTTTATTACTCACGAATACTTTGTAAGAATAAAAACTAAGTCGCGAAACACTCTGGATGAAAAAAGACCAGTGGTCATGTATTTTACATTCACACGTCAATCAGATAAATCTGAAGGAATATTGCAGGTTGAATGCACGGAATGGCAAACGAAGAATCTCTTCAGGACTCGCTCTGACAGTTTATCATACCTTAATCATAAAATTCGTGGCTCTTACATACCCTAAGCTTCGTGTGAACTATGTAGAAAAGTAACAAATAAACACGCTAATGACGCTAAACTTCCCAATATGATACAATTTCTTAACAGTAATATTTCATTTCTCGGCTGCATAGAGTAATGGATCGTTTGATTTGAAAATAATTTTTTATACTTTCACACAGTCAGTCTCCTTCCGAAAGCTTCAACAGATTCACATTTGAAGTTGAACGTTCTCACTGACTTGATGCAGGAGCCTCCCAAGGCTCTTTGCTAACACATATCAACACGTTACATGATAAGTGTTTAGTTGGAAAGTTCCCCTCTGTGAAACATCTGTAAATGATGTCATCATCATATGCGATAGACCGACAGCTTAAATAAAGCACAGAACAGTATATTTCTAACAAGCTTAAAGGAGAGAGATGGATATCTACCATTCTTCGATATTTCATCTTATTCAGACATCAAATAGCAAACGAATAGAAGCTGATACTCCGTGACTAAACTGAAAATGAAATACACGATATTTCAAAAACAGTTATACACTGAATTTAATATAACAGTAATTTCACTATCAAGGAATGAAACTCATGACCTTCATATACATAAACCTATTTGGAGGGGCAGAAATTACGCTTAATTTATGAGGATTAGTGATAATGATACATTCCCTGATTTGAAATGGGTGAATTTCCGTCAAATACGCAACCCAATGGTCAGTAGTCAAATATTTAGCAGCAATGAATGGTACTTTCACACCCCATTGAAAGTAGATTTCAACAAGCCATAAAAGTGACCTCCAACCATTGAACCAGAATATTCAAATCCACCTCAACTTACTTTAACCTATTTATCTTGATAGTCGTGTAAGATCTAACAACCTTACGTGCATAATCATTCATGGTTACCAGCTTATAGTAAATCATAAGAAAGTGTGAAAACACAAAAAGGAAATAAAAATTACCGGAATAGTTTGCAGCATTCCTTTCACCTCATCATTAATAGTATTCATTTGATAAATTTCAGATTCCGATAAAACTGTTGCGCCAAGTTTATTAAATAAATTTGATTTCTGTTGACTCGTTGTGTATGATTCTGAGGCTGCATTCACGGATAGACAAGTAGCTTTTATCAGCTGATCCAAACGGGAAATACATTCTCCTAAATCTGTATGTAAATCTTCTAAACGATTTAAAAATGCAAGTCGATAGTTGAGATTTTCCCGTTGTAAAACCCATTCAGCGGTCCAGTTGTCAAGTAGGTTTTTCGCCTCTGTTAGCATAGTGTGAGTCGATATTTCGGCATTAGATTGGTAATCTTTAGATGTTAAATTTAACTGGCCCTTGAATTCGTCAAAAGCTTGATTAGCTTCAAGTTTAGTCTTGTCGTGTTCAGTGATTGCTAACTCTGCATCTGTAACTGTATGACCAGGATCACGTGTCTGATTACTTTTCGTCAAATCCACTAGTCGACGTTTGAACTGAAATAAATAAAACAAGTTGAAGAGAAGAGCATTAAATTCTACTTCAAAACTACATCTAGCAGTAATTTCACTGAAATGTTAGGGTTTGTATATTTGGGAAGAATTCGTTCACAATAAACTGATATTTTTCATGAAACTACAGAAAAACTTTCTTCACTAAACGGTAGAGCTCATTTTCAACATTTCTGGTTATTAAAATACACAACAATAAAACAGGCACGGTGTCGTTCAACGAATAGGCTGAATACAAATAGTATTTTCCCTACTCCTCCAATTCTATGGATAAAATCCAGTGTCATTAGCGTGTGTATACTTTAACTCTCCCATCGTACTTTTTTCACTTGAGTACCCTGTCAACAGATATATGGACATTACATGGCAACAATTTGGTTGTAAGTTTGACTGGAAAGTTCCCTTTAGCAAACGATTTGTGGACGATACCAAAGTTACATCCAACAAACCAACAGATGTAATGTCAATTATCAATAGCTTGAAAGAGCACGGATGTTTAAAGGAGAAGATGACTACTTAAAATTGTTAGATATTCATATAACCTTAGGAGTAGCAATGTGATGCAGAACTACCTCGTGAGTCAAGTTATAAATGCGGACAGAAATTAGTCAACAACACTTAAAAATAAAGATATCAAGTGACAGGAATGAACAAACAAACGGTTGCTAGGGAAGTAAAAAATACCATAAACTTCAGAAAGTTTGTTTGAAATCAAGAACTGACAGAATAACACAACGTATCAGTAGTATGTTAACTACGTTGTAATGCAACCCCTTCGAACAAACCTTCTACTGGAAGGTTGCATGATAAATACTCAGATGTATCACACTTAGGAACTGAAACTGTTTCAGATGACCGAATATTTTTTTACATCAAAACAAAGTGATTAGCGATAAAATGATGTGAACCCCCATACTAGTAGAGTTAAGTCACTAACTTCAGCCTTTATCAAGGTTGTTAGTTAATGCCCTTATGCTGTACGGCGAAGTTATTCTTAAACGGAACAAGTGAACTCATTTATGTCACGCAAGAACATAAATGTAGCAAGTTTTAAACATTATGAAACCTGCTTCCTCCAATTAATTGTAAGTTGTCACTAAATATGATGTAAACGTCATTTAATCTACCAAATTTAGTTTGAATCAGAGCCAAAATGAGAGAAGGGGTAAGTGGACCTACGTAAAAATAATTGATTCAATGGTACAGACAAAAAATTCATACGTTTCAGTAGTTGCACCGTGTAATTGATGTCTCATTCTGACTAAAGTTTTTATACCAAATGTCGGTTAAGCATACGTACTCAACTCGTCCTTGAATACTTCTATTATAAGTGTAAGCAAAGTATTCTCAGCACAAAGTGTGTACTCTTTATTCTTAACAAACTAACCATATGACATTCAAGGCTTGGATAAAATCGAGAAACTTGGTTTCACATGTTAGGAGTTAGTTGGCAGGAAACTTTAGATTCATACTTCTCGTTTACAGGTACTCATTAGTAAGATGCAGAAAGTGGTGTTCCCCTGATGATTCAAAACCACATTAATCAGGACTAAAATCTGCGATTTTATTGCTAAACTTAATCGACAAACTTTGTCCAGTGCCAAACACTTAGACCTTGATTTCTATGTAGGTTACCATCCTATGCCCATTTGTGTAAAACTCAAAAATGACTTTTCGGCTTAAGATGACATCCGTAGCATTCATCATTTGAATTGAAATATGAGCTAGTCAATAAGAATGATAGCTGTTCAAAATAACTGAGTTTTCTAGGAAAATTTTCTTTGGAACAGTTTCCTCCGACTTAAGATAGGGATTTCATGTTTTCGGATTTAAAATAAGACATTTTTTGGAAACTCTCTGGTGTTTGTTGTAAATAAACCTACAAAAGCAATCAGCAGTCATTTGACATCAAAAGCATAACCTAACACATCAAGTACTAGCATGCAACAATTGGTGTTATACATAAAAAGGTTCAAGTGGAAACAAATAAAGCGTTCCTACCGAATTAAATGGATCATCCCGAGCATGATTTGAATATGTGTCAGAACCATTCAGTTTTTCATGATGTTTTATTCCTTCGTTATTTTTTGTTTTTCCTGTCTCAGTACTTGGTACAAAAGGATTAAACGGAGAGGTTTCCGCCTTCAAAGGTTTTTCTGTTGAGTGCAAACTGGTATTTCGGATTCGAACACCCTCATTCTCTGATGCACGTGCATTACTTTGTTTCAGATGAAAAGTAGAATATTGTCGACCAATCGAATCGCACTGTCCTCTATCATCTGATTCTTCTGAACCATTATGGTTGATTAAATTATTGCCTAAAGGATTACTAGGTCTGTTTTTTCTTTCATTCATGGAGACCTGCGGTGAAGCCATCGTCACTGGACTAAAATCACCATCAAATAGAGATCCTACTCGACGCATTGTTGAATTTGATGAACGAGATAACAGCCTTGGTGAACGCCAATCAGGAGCAAGTTCACTAGCAGTTGTATTATCTAGTGAGTTTCGACCTAACAAAGCATATTCATATTCGCGTACTTTTAACCACAATGTATACAATTTTAGACGTATTACACGAATTACTTCGTCCGTTATTTGTGCATTGACCATAATATCTCTGTTTAATAGTAATAATGATAAAATGAAGTTAGAATATACATATACACTATTCCAAGATTTTGAAATATATATAGTTAAGTGAAAGATGAAAAGCATAGTACGAACTGCTGATACCTTGAAAAAATTGAAGAATTATTAGATGTCCACTTCTGATACCGTTAAACAATACTTCCATTAACCTTGATTTATTTGTTCTCTTTCATACACTTTTATCTACTTCAATATCACTCGTTTTATGTTCAGTGCCTCTTGTTTGATGTGAAGTGAGATCAATTGAACTAATGCTATTCTGTACAAGATCCTTCACTGATATCAAGCTGCAATTCATCATGTACTGACACCAGTTACAGAACCAATGAGAACCTGGTAACATTGGATAGCTGTTTCATTTCAGTATAGGACTCCTAAGCAGTGCGCACCCATGACTCCACCAGTGATCAAACTCAGGACTTGAAATTTCCATGGAAAGTGCGTTACCGTTAAGCCACTGGATTGAGATCCAACGGTTCATATTCTCAAACTTCTATAAGTCGTAATATAGCACAATCTTCATCTACTGCCATTCTTGGGGGTGTGCTTATAAGTTCACATTGGTTTGCCTCACTGGCCAAGGCTTCTCATTAAAATTTCGGGAATCTCATTTCGAAGAAAGTTATTTATGACCATGGATGTCGATTCATAATGAATGCCAGCTTGAAACCTACCTAAAATCACAAACCTACGTTGATTTGTCTATCTATCCACCTGTCGCTGTCTGGTTTGTGTGTGTCTACCTTTTCATTATCAAAATTCTCTGAACGCTTCAATTTTTTATGAATGCATACTGGTATCAATTCCAGTTAATGGTTAGGGAATCAGATAAATAAGCTCAAGACTTAATCAAATAATGGATTCAACATATGAGTTACTTATATACTGAAACAAGTTTAGTAAGTTCAAGGGTTCACCGGCGATTGCGTCATCAGTAAACCTTCACACCAAAAGGTCTGAATTTCCGAAGAAATGTTGGTAGTAGATCCAACAAGGAAGCTAATTAAATATCTGAAAGATATTCAGCATTTTTTACGATATTCATATGAAAACTTAGTACACTGAACACATTAAAAGCACTAATAATCTAATGAAGTAATAAATACGAAATAGGCATCCAGTTTAGACATTATCATAGCATAAGTAGATCTAGACTAGCGATCAAAATATGTGGTAAACTCATGTTGATCACAATCGTCTGACCACACTTCTCAGTGACAAGATTAGCTAACTGTTTAAAGCTTTTAATAACAAAAACAAAAAGGAATAAAACTTAACAACACCTGAGCACACAGAATTCTATCCCGATGAAGGATATCAGTATGTTATACGCTGAAAGTCTAGATGAATGAGCAAGAACTCCACGCCAACTGATCCAAAATTAAACTATCAGCAACTCTTACTCATTATAAGTGTAAGTTTCAATACAATCACAGCGTATTTAGACAATCAAAACAAGATTTCTGTGAACGTTTTGTTGTGTATCCCACAGCTCCTTCAGCAGAATATTCCAATTTTTAATCGATATCAAAATAAACATTTTCAAATGGAACATGTAAGAATTTCCATCTTTACACTACTGGTTAGCTACTTTGTTGTTTAAACTAACTATTTCCAAACACTCGAAATTTATGCGGTCCTTTTCATTTGTCATGAAGAACAATTCAATAATCAAAGTGAAGTCGCTATATATACCATTTGACAGCATATATTTTGATGTTTATTAAAAATCCTTAAAATTCTGCTGGAGAAGCTATGTCATATACAATGAAGAATTCGGAAAAATCTTGTTTTTTTTTTCATTTTCTTAACATTCTGGGATTATATTAAAAGTTACTTGTGTAGTGATTAAATCTGATTTGGAAATCAACTTCCTTCAAGACCTTTCTAACAAATATGACTTGGATGTTTACAACACCTCCTTCTTCCTGAAGAAAATAAAAGTGGAAGAATAAGGATATCACAGGAAGGATAAATATGCAAGGGAACACTAGTTCCTTCTTCGTCATTCATAAAATAAAGTTTTCTGAAGGCACAAAACTTTTGTGTTCAAGGCTGGTGGAAATTACTGATCTTCGTCTAACAGCATGCTTCCAGTTCTATGTTAAGGTATATAAACAGATGAAAGAAACTTTGGTAGGATCACCTATATCTGTAATAATTTCACAAGCAATAATGCAGAAACTGAAAGCCATCGTTTGATCGATGATCAAACAGAAAATTTGGATCTGGTATTTGGACGACACTCTTGTTATCAAGAAAAAGGATGAGTTAGGAAGCCCTCACTACCTGATCAACAATGTTTCCAGTGACATTAAATCCACAATGAAGAAAGAGTCAAACAACAAACTGGCATTCCTAGATGTTTTAGTCAATAGAACCGACACCGGTAAATTAGAAGCTCAAGTCCACAGGTAATCAACACACTCGAATCAAATCCTCAACCACAGTAGTAACAACCTGACAATACTCGAAAACAATTATGCACAGAATTCATTCTGAAGGGCAGAAACACACTCCAATACATCAACTTCAAGGGGAAATGAAGAAAATTACTTGGTATCTGCTCTAAGAAAGAGCGGTTACCCATACAACTTCATCAGAAGGTGCCTATTCAATTCACCACCAACTACAAAGTCATCTACGAAAATTACCAAACAAATCATCCTACCATACATAAAGAACATATCAGAAATCACGACAAGACTACTGAAACCAATTGAAGGTGGTATAGCTCGTAAACCAACAAATTCCCTCCCACCCATACTATGCAGATCAAATATTGGTTACAAAACCAACTGCAATAACTGCGATCAGCACTGCACTACATAAATTGGTTGCTCTCGTCACCATCTACATGAACACCAGGTGACAATGAGACATTACGATATTTTGTCTCATATATCAATCCATGTGGACAAATATAGGCATGAATCAAATTTTCAAAACTTAGAGAGATTTCTAACTTAGGATATGCAAAAGATGCTAGAAAATTCCCAGAGGCTTGGTATTCAAGATAGTCAGCAATGAGTAGATGTATGGATATAGACATAATCCACCAACTAATAAGGTCAGAAATCAGGTAGAAAAATGGCAAATAGGAAGTTCCGTGCAATCAATGGTACAACAATCAGGAGAGGCCTCTAACCACACATCACTTAGTCAGGATAGGGTACTAAACCACTCAAAATTCCTGATTTCTCACTTCACAACGAAGTTATTTCTGCTGATGTTACCTAGAAAGAAGGTGAAAGCCTTATGACTAAGCCATCCATTTCAGAGGAAGTAACAAACAAGATCATCCACCTAAGTTACAAACATTCTCCAGCAAATAAACAAAGGAAAGGAGGGTGATGACAAGAACCAACTAAACCTTATAAACCAAATGAGTGACTGTTGGTAAAACCTTATCTGTAAGCAACAAACAAACATCCTCTTTTGTGTCTAATTATTATATTTTCCGTTTGGAACGCCGTATTGACTTTGACCCACAGTATATTTTCTATGCTAAGCACAGAGTTTTGATTCTTCATGGTTTCAGACACGCCTTTCTGACAGGTGTCAGCATCAAGAAACCTCGATAAGGAGCTTCCTACAGTTTGCCTTCTAATCCATAACACCAGAATTTATAATTACATAACGGTATGTAGAATCAAAGCTCATTTTTACCACATCCCAGTCACCAACAGTTTTCTGAATACATAGCCACCATTTAGACACTGAATTTATATTTCTTAGCGTATATACGGATCTCCAGTATTAAATCTTACTTCAATGACACCAATGTAAGATGAACCATGCTTAGATTCAGAAAAAGGTATGGGATGTGATTCATGTAGAGACGGATGTCCACAAAATTTTACGGTGAAAATATGAAGAATGTTGGCATTTTTCAATTCTGCGACTGAGTGTCCACAAGTAATGATTCTTACCACACGGTAGGTTTTATAGCAATCCTTAATACTTCCTTATATTATTCTATTGGAAAATGCTACTTGTTATACATTATTACCATTTAATAACCTGGCTTTCGAAAACTAAGATTAATGAAAAATCACTCTTTATGGTCATCATTTGGAAACCACTTACTCATGTAATAGTCCTTTAGGCAGCTTATCAATAAGTTGCAAACCGACTGCTTTGATAGCTAGGAATTCCTGCAATAGTTTATCCAACTGTACACGCCTTTGGTCATTTGGAACAGGTGACGTTCCTTGAGTTGTCGGTGAACCACATTTACGATCAAATATTGGTGGAGTTCGACTTAACTCCAAGAGATATTCTTGGACACGAGTTAAAAGCTAAAAATTAAGGGTAAACAAACTGTAATGAACTAATGAAAATGAAAGAAGCAATAGGTGTAGTCCATCAAACGTAAAAACGATTATGACAGTCTTATACTAATATGACTCGGACTGACAAAAGGTAGACTATATATAGTGATGATAGTGTGTTATACTCCTATCAAAGGTGACTACTAGATTGTACTTATTCAAATATTTCCGTGACCTGTGAGTTCGAATCGAATGATAAACTAGATTTTCTGGGCATTTTAATCACTGAACGAAATGGTGGGACAATCACAAGGCTAATATTTCAAAAATAAACATAAAATGGAAAATATCTTCACTTCAGTAAACTTGTTCCCATTCAGCATAAACATTCTATCGGTTAAATGTCACTTCTGCAGAGCCCGTAAAATATATACCAGTGATATACTGAATGATGACACGCGTTGCATACTATTGGTTTTTCTGGAAATCCATCATGTGTTACAGGAAAAACCAATTACTTGCCTAGAAAACAGCTATTGTATTTGTCTCCATCAAACTATCAGTTAAAGATGACCAGATTATGTAACTGACAGCTCAAAAGGCTTTGGTAGACTATTAGATGTACTTTCTACGCCGATTCTATTTATTTAACAACAAGGAAGTTTCTTCTCAGGGTGCCAAAAATTAAATTGCATCTACAAATTCATCTGCAGTTTTAGGGACACTTACATAGACAGAACTAACTGGATGATCCAATACAATCAGAAAGAACATGTTTTTCAATGGCTATCAAACCATATGATTCACATAACTTTACTTAACATGGGTAGGAATCTAACATCATCTAACGCCACGTATTTACTGATAACTGGTAACAATATTATTATTATTTATTATTTATCTCTTCGGTTGCTAATGGAACATGGAGCTTCAGTAGCACGTCTCCATTCCACTCTCTTCTCTGAAATCCTTTCAACCTGGTTCCACGACAGCCCAGAAGCTCTCATTTCTTCCTCACATGATCTCCATGTCCCCCTCAACAAGGACGCCCAACTCGTCGATTCCCATCTGGGTTCCACTAGAAGGCCTGGCCTGGCGCGTGATGTCCCCAGTCGGCCTTCTCAGTGTATTCTCAATCCATCTCCACTTCCTTCTGCATATTTATTAAGCGATAGGTTCTTGCTTCGTTGGTTCGTTGCCAGAGTGAGTTCCTCGTTGCTTATTCTGATTATTCTGGCCATCTGATCTGCAGTAACGAGCGTAGGCAGTTGCTGATGAATGTCTTTAGTTTGTTGAAAATCCTTTTCGTTACGCGCCAAGTCTCTGAGCCATACAGGAGCACTGACTCGACGTTGGTGTTGAAAATCCTGATCTTGTTCCACATGCCGAGTCCAGGAGATCTCCACACTGGTTTTAGTTTAATGAAGGTCTGTCTTGTTTTTCCGATCCTGGTTTTGATATCCTCGTCTGTGCCACCTGTACTTCAAACAGAGCTGCTTAGATAGGTAAAAAAGATTTCTCCCGTTGATGGTGATTGGGGCTTGTTGTTGTTGGTTGGGTATCTTTATCACCTCTGTCTTCTCTACATGCACTTGAAGTCCCGTCTTTGCTGCTTCTTCTGCCAACTTGTTAGTTTTCGCCTGTAGATCTTCAAGTTTGTGTGACATTAGACATAAGTCATCGGAGAAATCCAAATCTTCTAGGTAACTGTTTTCTACTGTTTCACATATCTTCAAATTCAAGGTAGTAAAAGTGATGGAAGCGTTTTGGTTTGTATGCTCAAGAAACAATGAATGTGACTGCTTGTCTACCAAGAGCTACATGACTTATGCTAATGATTGGTTATTAGTATACAACTACAAAATGTTAGAGGATAGTTTATTAATGAAAACCAGGCTAGTTGTTGTGTTATTACAGAGAAACTATAAAATGATATCACCTAGCAAAATATTTGTCTTCTTAATGCCTTATATGAATATAAATAGTAAACAACAATCCTCAGGTTGAACTACGACTAAATGCACAATATGCGGTGAATGGTTAATTTAAAACACATCTCTGAAGTTTCCCACTGTTTACAAGTATGAGTTTCTTGACTAGGATGCCTAATATCTTAGATACTAATGGTTAGAAACATCATATAGCAATGCTTCAGACTGATAATAAAGAGGCAGATGTATTCAGCATTTTGTCACGCTCGAAATGTTTAACATTTTATCCAAGTTTGATCATTATTATTATTATTACTCGCTTCACTGATGTCATACAACTTTCTGAACGGCCTACGTGCAATACAATAGCAGTCCCAATAGATAAATGTGAGATAAAAATGTTTTTCAAAACTATTTATCTTACTCAAAACTCACTTCAATAGATTGCATAGTATCAAGACGTTTATGGAGGACACCTGTAAGTATCCTGTTTGCGACGAAAGTTTTGAGACTGCTTGGAACTTGAGTGGAAATCTAATTTTTCTGAAACACTAAGCCACGAGAGCACAGTTACAGAACTAAGTAGAAGCTAAATGTCATTCATCTGAGTTAACTTACATAACCAGATGACGAAATAATATCATATACAAACCTTGGTAGGTATTTACTCAAATGGAATAGGTTACTTGCAAACTAAGCTTCTTTTAAGTTGAAAAATACTGTTGTTTTTTTAATGTGTTTTATATTTCACAATACCACACAAGTTTATCATGCATCTAACCTTAGAACTAATTTTCATACACCATTAGAAATAATAAGAGAGTTAAGGGATAAATCACAACTGATAATATAAACGAATATATTCAAAATTTGTGCCAATTCTAAGCACGAATTCGTTTATCACTTACCATATCAGTTGTTATGTATACCTTCTTTGCTGTCTCTGTCCTTGCTTGCGATTCAAGTAGTCGATCAGTTAACTTTGGCCATATACGAAACAGTCTTGTCTTACTGAGTCCTACATTACGCGGTAAACGTCTACCGTCGGCTTCACACAATTTGCCATATGTTTCTAATAGTTGTATACAATATGCATAAGTTGTCTAGTATGTTAAAATAGAAGGACGGAAGTAAATAAATAGTAGATTAAATGAATTCCAGCTAAAAAGAAAAATCATAGCGCCAAAACCATTCATAGCAATAGTTTGTCAAATATTCAATACATATTTTCATTTCACTGTGAAACATAATCGAGTATCAATGATACAAGTTTTCCAAACCACGTGTATCTCAGAAAGTTACACTGATAATACATTTTCAATAGACAACCATTTTTCCGTTTTTTGAATTGAAGGATCAGATGAAACTATATACGTGTGCACTATACTAATCAAATAGAAAGAAAGGAATTGATAGGCTTGATAACAATTCTTATCAGAACAAAACCATTGAAAAATAGATGACTATATTTAAATATTTACACAGGACTGCGGAAGCAAATGTATAGGTCCATCTAACCGAATAGTCAAGCACCAACCTAAATGACTGAAGTGTGTCAAGAAGAAAACCTTGAGAAGCCCGGTAACGAGACACCTGTAAGACTACTGGTATAATATTGATACCTGTAAGTGTTTTTACGACTATAAACCAGGAGACGCAGAATAAGAGGATGCTTGCAACTGCAGAAGCTTATGTGACTCGACCTGCAAACCGAACTTCTGTGTTCAAGAGGAAATGGTAGTTAGCTTGTAATATCGTTTAACCATATTTATTCTTCCCTACTTGTTCTTTTTCTTCACTTATTACCGGTGTCCTACAACTGTGGCTTTTCGTTTTTTATATAAGTTTCGGTTAATTAATCCTATTCCTATTAATATTATTATCATTATTATTCACCTGAATACTCACATGCTCTTCAGCTGGAGAACTTTTAGAACCCTAGCACCAGTAGACTGCTGTTTCGTCTAACTGTAAGTCTCCTTAGCAGTACGCACCCACGACCCGGCAAGGTGTGGAACTCAGGACCTTCAAGTTACGTGGCAAACACGCTAACCATCCAGCCACTGGGTCGGAGTCCAATGTTCACAGCTTTGCTCTAAATCTGGAGTTGACAGAAGTAGGAAACCGGGAATCATTAGACTGCAGCCAAGTGACTGAATAGCTATCGCGCTCGCCGTGAAATCTGAAGGTCCTGAGTTCGGTCCCTGACAGGGTCGTGGATGCGTACTACTGAGGAGTCCCACACTAAGATGAGACAGCTGTCAGGTGCTCCCAAATTTTCAAGGCTTCTCCAACTGATGCCAGTCTGTCATGAATACTATTTCAAAAATGAGATCCCCATTAACCTCAAAATACACTACTAACTATCCTGTTTAGAATGAATTAATCTACCCTCAACCAACTCACTTCTAGACCTAGTGTCAACATTATTGTTATTATTGTTTTTCTACTTGAAATCAACATGACTCCTTAGACTGCACAACTCTCCAAACTCATAATCATTTACGTAACCCATCTTCAACCCATTCAATATGAACATCCACCCCTACTTTTTGCATTATCGCTTGACCTATAAAAAATGTTGTTCATTTCCATGTTGTTACACCTAAATCGATGTTTTAATCTACGCTATATGTGTATGTTTATTCTCTTGTCTTGCTGACTGGTACACATAATCAAGTATGCAAAGTATCCAGCTGAGAAGTTCTACTGGAATTTATGAATTCATTAAATCCTGCTTCTTTTCTTATATATATATATATATATATATATATATATATATATATATATATATATATATATATATCATAGCCGTCAAGCTGCATCTCCTTAGTATAGGAGTAACATGTTTACTATAAGAACAGTGTATATTCTAATCAAAGAGAAAGAGAATGAAACAGTTACCGATTCCTAAATTTACTGCGATTTTTTCGGCCTGTTATGACAGTCAGTACCTTAACTAATGGAAGCTGCCACTTTGAGATTAAATGCACCAAATGATATCAAAAACGTTAAGGATATTAACGACTCATTGAGGAAACTCTCGACAAAATTTTAGAACTGCAATTGAAAACAGTCGCAATACCTCCTGGCCTAATGAGTTACACAGTTGATAACGGCTCAAGGTAAGATAACTTGACAGTAACTTCAGATACGTGCTTGTTAAGATTTCCATAAAAAACAAGTATTTTTACGTAAACTTTACACAACCTTCCTCATAAACCTTAAAAATTCTATGGAGATTTGTATAAATCATGTGTGTTTTTTAGAAAACAAGCAACAAAAGCAAACACTGAACCATCTCAAAATGCAGTAAAACAAACCATTCTCAAGGATTTAATAAAAAGTTTGTGCACAAGTTTGTAGATTGGTTTATATGAATCAGAGAAAGTTTAACATGTTTACAAATAACATTAAAACCACACGAATGGAGTAGCAACAGGGGATAAATGTTAAAGTGGTTTTCATCATTAGTTAAAACTAGCCTATTAACTGTTTAAAATTGGGAATAAAAAGAGTCACTCTGGCCTATTACATACCTTCTCAGTATTACCATAGCATAATCAGAGTGAGAAAATAGCAGTTTCCACATTTGAAATCTTAACCTTAGGTATTGGTCTACGCATTTTTGATAAAAATGGACTAATATAAGAATAGATGCCTAAAATTTCAGTGATATTAGATGGCATTCTCAGCCAATTCAAAGTTTCATAAAAGGACTTGCTATTTTTATCATCTGTTTGTTTGGGTTCAACAAAGAGACCAATTGTCACCCAAGTGGGTGGTCAAATGACAAGCGTGCTTATTCAGCGGCTGCCAACTTTCTGATTTCCTTTTCGGTATGAGACATTCTATAAGATTATGCAATGATTGTTCAGTACCCCCTAACAATCTACAGCTTCCAGCTGATATACAGCCACTATGAAGTACATCACTTAGAGCTTTTGCTAAAGCATCAGGAAGTACAGACTACAGTGAAACATTACCCACTGAATTCGAAGCTTCTATACCTATTGAAGCCATTGGAAGAGGTGAAAGATGAAGTCACATCCCATTGTATTTACTAATCCAAATGAACATGTGCTCACATATACATAGTGAGGACTCATAAACAATATAAAATAAAGGCCACAGAACACATTCTAAAGTGGTTTCAGAAACAAATAAAGTCACCTTACCCAAGGGATGCTGGAAACAAACGTCCTAGCTTCCCAATGGCTAAACATATTATTGAAATGGGGCATGAAATGGATGTGCAAACATCATTTGAGCCAATCTATAAGACATGTTGGGAACGCATCTCAAAATATGTTGAAGCATTAGCTTTTAGGATGTCTAAGATACAAAAACAATTTATTATCATATTACACCTTCCATGGTAAATTCCGCTCTGAACCCAAGGTCGTTTGTTGTTGATTTATAGATCTTCATTGTTATTTTGACCTTCAATATAGTCTCCTCATCTGGCTGATAATTACCTTCCCATCCCATTGGGCAACTTTGAAGGCCACCTGAGAAACGACTGAGACAACCAATTAAATTTCTCCATTTTAGCTGGAGAGGGAGATTTTCATAAAAATAAAGAAGGCTGGTTGGTTATTTCAGTTGTTGCTAGGGTGGCCTTTAAAGTCACTCAATACATTACACCATTCAGAAAAGTTAAGTCTTCTTACCGATTTATTAAAATTCATAAAGGGAACTAATTGTTTAAAACAAGAAATCTATATTAGTCTGGAACGATCTTGAAATCAAGCAATCGAAAACTGGGGCAACTTCGAGGGTCACCCTAGCAGCTATCAAAATAACGGTATTTTGGCTAGGAAGACAATTTTTCATACAATAAAGAAACGTGACTGGTTGTTCCATCACTTGCTAGGGTGACCTTTAAAGTCACTCGAAAACTGCACTTATCTGAATTTTACTTTGAAACTTATGAACTGGCAAATGGGGAAATAGAACAAGCAATGTATAATAAAAACACTTTAATGCACAGCAACACCATAATGCAAATCTGACGTCAAATGGTAAGAAGAACAATTCGTTGACACAATCAGAGGCACTATTCGAGGTAGAAGGAAGAAGAAATAAAATGAAAAACGCTATGGAAATTCCTTTCTTCTGGTCGAACAACGCCAAATTCACCAACAGTAAGCAGAAATTCAACTTTTTAAAATGTTTTTGACTTAAAATTCATGTTATTTTTGAATGAATGACCTCTGGAAATCAAAAATGAAAGATGAAGGGAAATAAAGTTAGAGAACGACATGAAAACTAAGATCATTCCCAGTTCGACAGTTGATGCACTCTCATGATTTTTGAGGCGTCAAATCATGTTGAACATCCATAGTCATCAAATGCAAAAGAGACTTACAGTAGGCTAAGTTAAAGTCAATCGATTTCTCTGGTAATCACATTTAAACCTCATTCAGATGCATATGGCTTCAAATATGGGAACCAATGACTTCTAATAAGAGTGGGAACTCAGTAGGAGAATTCTAATGGGAATAAGTTGAATATCTAGCAACAACTGTAAATCCTCCCTCAGAACCAGCCAACAAAATCTTAGAGAATGAAGGGACCGATGCGGTATCCACAAACGACCCCACAGTTCATAGCTACCCGAGAGTCATATAATCAGAAGGAGCTGGTGTCAGAACAGACAGAAAGATGCTGCATCGTCCAGTGTTTCATGTGAAAGCTATACACTAAATCTGTGTCCCCAAAAAAACACCTCAAAACAGAATTGCTTTCTAGTTCTCACTACTGACTTGCTTTGAGATGAGATTTCCCCAAGTTCTACTGAGAATTCATGACCAGTGGGGCGAATCAAATCGGATGTGAAAACAAATACTCAACGACACCATTGACTGTAAGTCGCATCTCATACTAGGATGAAGCAGCTGTCCATTATTCCTGAGTTTTCAATAGTTCTCCCCGTAATGAATACCAACTTAATTATTTGCCCATAACCGAGGCTAGAGGCAACATAGTTACTGTTTCATTAGTCCATATTACCAATCAATATGAAGGAAGATAGTTTTTTGGTACTGAACTTTCCAGTCACTGATCATGCGTGATAAGTACATCAATAATTATGTTTCTA